AAAAAAAAAAAGAAAGAAAAGTTGAAATATAGTAGTTACAGAATAGGAATCTGGTCTTTTACCATGTCAAATCTTTACAGGCCCAATTTCAGCCTTTAAAAAAAATCCAAATATATTTAAAGGGTCACTTACAATTTATGGATTCTTTGAAATAACTTTCAATTTCGTCATCCAGAACATTTGTTTCTTTATTTTCTTGTATAAAATTCAGTAGAATGTTAGCTTCTGGCGTCTCTTAAATTGAAAATGCATAGTAAGTGAAAAGTAAACGGATTAACTTTTAAATCACATTTAAATCATCCAAAATCATTTTAATAGTAAAAAGTGAAGACATGTAAGAATACAATCAAATAGAATATTATGTGGCCATTAATAATCTGATATAGAATTCTGTTAACATGGAGAGATGTACACCACATTACATCTAAAACAGATGTTAGTGAAAAGAGCAGCTTACGTTATAACTTGTGTGGTTCAATACCCTTTTAATTAAAAAATCTACATATGTAAGGGGCCTGGCGCAGTAGCTCACACCACACCTGTAATCCCGCAGGCACTTTTGGGAGGCCGAGGCAGGCGGATCATGAGGTCAGGAGATCAAGACCATCCTGCTAACACGGTGAAACCCCCGCTCTTAACTAAAAATACAAAAACATTAGCCAGGCGTGGTGGCGGGCACCTGTAGTCCCAGCTAGTTGGGAGGCTGAGGCAGGAGAATGGCACGAACCTAGGAGGTGGGCTTGCAGTGAGCAGAGATAGCGCCACTGCACTCGCAGCCTGGGAAACAGAGCAAGACTCCGTCTAAAAAACAAATACAAAAACAAACAAAAAAAAACTACATATATAAATGCAAAATTATCTGGAAGAATATATATGAAAAAATGAGTCTCTCTAGACAGTGGGATTGTAGGTGATCTTTGTTTCCCTTGTTTTATGTTTTATATATTTTTTCTGAATTTTATATGTATTTCTTTACTCAGAAAAAAAGGTTTTTTTTTTTTTTGAGACGGAGTCTCGCTCTGTTCCCCTGGCTGCAGTGCAGTGGCCGCGATCTCGGCTCACTGGCAAGCTCCGCCATCCCGGTTCACCCCCATTCCTCTGCC